CGGGAGGCTGAGGCAGGAGAATCCTGCTTGAACCCTGGAGGTGGAGGTTGCAGTGAGAGGAGATTATGCCATTGCACTGCAGCCTGGGCAACAGAGCAAGACTCCTCTCAAACAAAAACAACAAAAAACCTTTTTCTGCTAACTTTTAAGGAAATCCTCACTTTCATTTAAAGATTCCTAATTCCAGAGGTGAGAAAACAATTTGCATTTACGACTTTGAATAGGCAATTCAGTTGACCTTCAACCTTTCTAACAGTTTCAAAAGCAAAATCATACATTAGAATACAACACAAAAGCACTAGAAGCCAGACAACATTCAATAAGTTTTAACAGCCAATGAAACTCCAGACCATAATTAGTTCCTCCCTCAGTATTTTATCCTAAGAACCTAAGAAATTTTTACAGTTTGTAGGCTTGATATCTTTTAAGGCCAAATATCGTAGCCTTATTTTTTCTTTATTTTTATTTTTTTAATTTTTTGGAGGGAGGTATTCACATATTTGATATTTGAAAATCACTTTTCTTAACAACTATGATAGTGGTTTCTAGACTTTGTCCTTAAGCGCAAGCCATTCTTCCTACATGACGTGACCCACAACACAAAAACTTAAAGCTCCACAGAAGAGTGAGACTTTGCTGTCTTCTGATGGATGTTATCAAAGTTGAGGGCTAAAGGACACTTTGGTGGTATAGCTTGGGACAGATTCTTTTTCCTTAAGATCTTCAATATAGGCTTTCATAAATTCTTTTTTTGTTTGTTTGTTTGTTTTTTTGAGACACAGCCTCACTCTGTCACCCAGACTAGAGTCCAGTGGCACAATCTCGGTTCACTGCAACCTCTACCTTCTGGGCTCAAGTGATTCTCCTACCTCAGCCTCCAGAGTAGCTGGGATTACAGGCGCATGCCACCATGCCTGGCTAATTTTTGTATTTTTAGTAGAGATGGGGTCTCACCATGTTAGCCAAGCTGGTCTCCAACTCCTGACCTCAACTGATCAAACAACCTTGGCCTCCCAAAGTGCTGAGATTACAGGCGTGAGCCAATGCACCCAGCCTCATAAATTCTTTATCAAGGCTCACACCTGTAATTCCAACACTTTGGGAGGCTGAGGTGAGCAGATCATTTGAGCCCAGGAGTTCGAGACTAGCCTGGCCAATATGGCAAAACCCCATCTCTACTAAATATACAAAAATTCACTGGATGTGGTGATGCACACCTGTGGTCCCAATTATTCAGGAGGCTGAGGTGAAAGAATCGCTTGAATCCAGGAGGTGGAGGTTGCAGTGAGCTGAGATCGCGCCACTGAACTCAAGCCTGGGTGACAGAGCAAGCCTCTATCAAAAAACAAAGCAGGGGCAGGGATGGTTCATAAGGCTTACAAATTTTAAACATGTGGAGGAGTCACAAAGGGTAGTTGAAAGCCCTTTGTGACCAAGTGGTCCCCACTGACAACTAATAAGGTGTGCTACTTTAGGTTAAGCATGGGGTAAGGCAGGTAGGTCAACTTGATTTTATATAAGAGAAAGCCCTGCAGCTCTCCCAACCTGTCTCTATCTCGTGTCACATCAGTCAGGTTATTATTGCTGATATCCAACCACTGCAAATAGACATCCTCAGTACACAGATTGGGACAGTGGAAAACTTGTTTGTGGAGATATCTACAAATGCAACTGGTTTCCAATTACTTAATTCAAAAGGCAGCTCTATGAATTCTAGATTTCCAGAACAATCCGGTCTCTCTAGATTTCACCATCTCCCAGTTCTGGAGAAATGCTCTTCAGATAGTTGAAACTCACATTGAGTTATTTCAGGTTTTTCAAACAATTAATTTCAGCTGGAAGATGTGAGATTTATTTCTTTGGCAGATCCTGAATTCTCATCGAATGAAACAGCTCAATATAATATGTAGGAGTGATTTGAATCAGCGTGTCGTATATTTGCCATTCTCCCAGGTGCATCTGCTCCTTCAACAAATCTGGCAGCTCCGTCCAGTCCTCCCCAGAAAGTCCAAACACAAATGCACTGCTCCATTTGCCTCCGTCCTTAGGAAGTGAACTCTGCCTTGTGAGAGCGTTCCTTTCTATCTTTTCAAGAAGCCACATGCTGGTGTCTATGAAGCTATTCTTGCAGTACACTGCCGGGGGGATGCCTTTCGTCCTGTGCTTGGCCTCGAGGTTCCACTCCTCCTTTGTCTTTTCCAATGTACTCTTCTCAAGACTTTGTGCCTCCTGCTTCTGCCAAACTTGTGCTCTTGACATGAATTTCCCACAAGGCTCTGACAACAGAAATGTCAAATATGACCACTTTATGTCCCATTTTGGGAGCATGAAATTACCTGTGGGGAATGCAGATCTTTTTGGTGGGTTCTGGTCCTTGGGTGAGAAGGGATTTTTTGTGGCTAAAAGGCTGTCACCCTGGAGTTCTGGGCTGACTTCAGCCCAGCCAATACCTGCATCACCAGACTGGGGGCCTCAGTTCCCTCCTCTCGTCTTTCTTTTTTAGAGACAGGGTCTTGCTCTGTCACCTAGGCTTGAGTGCAGTGGCACAATCATAGTTCACTGCAGTCTCAGACTCCTGATCTCATTGATCCTCCTGCCTTGGCCTTGCAAAGCACTGGGATTACAGGTGTGAGCCACTGTACCCAGCTGCCTCAATTTTTAAAGAAAGAATTTATTTTAAATCCTGCATCTGTACGATATCAAAACAATTAGTCAAATCAATGAAAATATTAGGCAATTCAGTAGTTTGGTGCAATGTTGCCACAAAGCGAGTCTCTGACTCCTGCCCGCAAGTGATCCTCCCACCTCGGCCTCCCAAAGCACTGGGATTATAGGCATGAACCACCGTGCCTGGCTCTTTTTGTTTTCTTTAGGAAAAAAAAATAATGGCTTCGTTTCATACCTACCAAATTGGAAAACTGGCATGGCCTCTAGGCCAGACAGGTGTTATAATACTCCTACTGAGTTTAGCATACCATTCAGCCACAGACAGAGCTCCTGGGCCTTGCTGACACCCCTTTAGTATCCCTTCCAAACAAACCAATGCTTTGTCCCATTGTCACACATTTTACTTCTACATATGCTGTAAACTCCATACTCTAATATTTTTTGTTTAAACAATCAATCTTTTTTACTTGGGGTGTTTTTTTTTTTTGCTTTTATTATTATTTTAAATGGATACATAGTAATTGTACATATTTTTGAGGTACAGTGTGATGTTTAGATACATATAAATGTATCTAATTACACATAAAATGTGTAATGACCAAGTCTGGGTAATAAGCATATCCATCACCTCAAACACCTATCGTTTCATTGTTTTGAGAACATTCAAAATCTGCTCTTCTGGCTATTTGAAAATATACAATAAATTGTCGTTAATTATAGCCTCCCAGTAGTGTTATAGAACAATAGGAATTATTCCTCCTACCTAGTTGTACTTTTATTTCTGTCAACTTTTGCCTATCTTCCCCTTCCCACCAACCCTCTCTTCCTCTAATAACCACTCTACTACTTTTTACCTCTAAAAGATCAACTTTGTAGCTTCCACATATAAAGAAGAACACACGGTATTTATCTTTGTAGCTTCCACATTTAAGGAAGAACACACGGTATTTATCTTTCTGTGTCTGGATTATTTCACTCACCCTAACATCCTCCAAGTTTATTCAGGTTGCTGTGCATGACAGAATTTTAAAATTTGTTATGGCAGTATTCTATTGTGCTATATACCATGCTTTCTTTTTTTAATTTAAATAAATTTATTTGTGAAAAAAAACATCTGGACATAAGTCTTATCCACAATGTCATAACTCATTCTTGGGAGTACTCTTATGCAGTTTGTAAGAGAAATACCATGTGAAGCATCAGCTGAACATTTATCAAAATTCATAAAGCCATCAAACCTGAGTATTACATAATACATAATGACAATGATACAGTAATAAAAATACAATATCAAATACTCACTATTTTGTGAGTTACAAACTACAATATAAACACTTTAGGCACTTTTTTTTTTGAGATGGAGTTTTACTCTTTTTGCCCAGGCTAGAGTGCAGTGGTGCGATCTCGGCTCATCGCAACCCCCACCTCCTAGGTTCAAGCAGCTCTCCTGCCTTAGCCTCTCTAGTAGCCAGGATTACAGGCAGCACCATGCCCAGCTAATTTTGTATCTTTAGTAGAGACGGGGTTTCTCCATGTTGGTAAGATTGGTCTCGAACTCCCTATCTCAGGTGATTCGCATGCCTCAGCCTCCTAACCTGCTGGGATTACAAGCATGACCCACCATGCCCAGCCGTGACCCCATTTTCAAAAATGAAAAAATATTTCTATTACAGCCTTATGTCAAGCATTTCCAGTTAGATACATCTTTATATATATTTACTAACAATAGATGGCAAAACAATGTCTTCGTATCTGTAGGTAAAATATATTACTTGCCTAATGTTTGCACTCTGAAGTATACTTTGACACATGCCAATTCAGATAAGAGAATGAAACTGTGCAATGACAAAATCCTGGCTGATGATAAAGACTTGGATAGTTTTCATATTAAGTTAAAAAAATTTACGTTACTGAAGAAAGAATCAAGGACATACAAAGAAGCAACATCATTCTTTCTCAACAAAGCAGTCTAATTCCAGGGAATGGGTTTTCCATTTTGAATTCAAATGCCTGGTCCCAAAGTTGAATTATTTCAAATCCAGGAGCTTCCTGCCACTGTGAGGCAACAGCAATGATGAAGCAAGTTGGGAGGAAAGTGTTAACTGAACTACAGAGATGGTCACTATTAAAACAAGTTCCTAGAAGTCCTCTGGCTCACCCAGAGGTGAAAGGCAGCCAAAACTATCAACACAAAAGGAAAGTGCACTCACTGAACTGCACGCATAGAGCTTCTAGGAGGGTTCACAGTTCTTGGCATAGGTTCCTGGTTGTAGTTTACAATATCTGCCTTCAGTACTCTCTGTGACTGTTCTACTTCTGCTGTGTTTTGATCCCAAGGATTTCAGCAACAACTTTCTGAAAGCACAAGGAGACCTGGAGCTGGAGATGATTACAAGTCTTAAAGTAATTTCATACGAACAAACCATTTCAAAGTACCAAGAGTCTCCTGTCTTGGCTGAGACAACGTGGCTACTTAAACCATTTTCCTGGCAAAACCGTAAGTGTTTTTCAGGTTTTACTGTTCGCATGTGCTCCAAATCAATTTTATTGCTTACCAAGGCAACCAGTGGCTGAGTTTCTGACTCCTTGCGCACTTTTTTCACCACGGTATAACAATCTTCTAAATTCTCAAAGCTTTGATAATTTGTAATATCAAATACCAAGAGGATTCCCTGTGCTCCATAGATATATTTTTCCAACATTTTGCCTCCTATTGTCTGCCCTCCTATATCCCAAATTTGAAGGGTAACAATCAAGTTTCCTGGCAGTGTTATCCTTCTCAAAAGGAAATTCAGTCCTATAGTTTGTTTGTACTGTTTCCCAAAAGTTTCTTGAGCAAAACCCGTAGCTAAGGAGGTCTTCCCAGAGGCGCTGTGTCCAGCATGACGATTTTCAGTTGCCAGTCCTGGCTCTCCTCCTCAGAGGCCAACATGGTGTCCCAAGAACCAGGCCCGCCCCACGAGGTGGAGCGGGGAAGGGAAGAAGGAAGGCTTTGCAGGCAGAGGAGAGGAGGAAGGGAGGGAGTGGTGGCAGGACCCCCGCCCACCCCGGTATGTCCGCACCAGCTGGAGGGATCCGAGGAGAATCACTCGCCAGGCCCCATCTTGCCAACCTCCCTTCCCTCTGCCACCATGCTTTCTTTTCCATTCATCTGTTGATGGATATCTAGGTAGATTCCATGTCTTAACTGTTGTAAATAGTGCCGCAATAAACATGAGAGTGCGGATATCTCTCTGACATACCGATTTCCTTTCCTTTGGATATATACCTAGAGGTGGGATTGCTGGATCATCTGGTAGTTTTATTTTTAGGGTTTTTTTGTTTTGTTTTGTTTTGTCTTGAGACAAAGTCTCGCTCTTGTGGCCCAGGCTAGACTACAGTGGCATGATCTTGGCTTGCTGCAACCTCTGCGAGTTTAAGAGATTCTCCTGCCTCAACCTCCTGAGTAGCTGGAATCCCAGGCACATGCCACTAAACCTGGGTAATTTTTGTATTTTGAGTATAGATGGGGTTTCCCCATGTTGGCCAGGCTGGTCTGGAACTCCTGACCTCAAGTGATCCAACTGCCTTGGCCTCCCAAAGTGCTAGGATTACAGGCATGAGCCACTGTGCCTGGCCTATTTTTAGTGTTTTGAGGAACCTCTATACTGTTTTCCGTAATGACTGCTAATTTGTATGGCCACCAAGAGGGCATAAGAGTTCTGCTTTCTCCAACTCCTTACTAGCATTTGTAGGGTATTTTTTTTAGTTTTGTTTTTTGTTTTTAATAATAGCCTTTCCAACTGGGGTGAGAGAACTCATTGTGGTTTTGATTTACCTTTCGCTGATGATTGGTGGTGTTAAACATTTTTTCATATACCTCTGGGCCATATGTATATCTTCCTGTATGAGAGGAGATATCAACTCGACTCATTTTCCCATTTTTAATATTTTTTTCATGTCCATTCTTTTCTTTCTTTCCTTTTTTTTTTTTTTTTTTTTTTTTTTTTTTTTTTTTTTTTTTTTTTTTTTTTTTTTTTTTTTTTTTTTTTTTGCTGTTGAGCTGTTTAAGTTCATTATATATTCTTGATATTAATCCCTAGTTGGATAAATAGCTTGCAAATAGTTTCTGCCATTCTGTAAATCAACTCTTCACTCTGTTGATAATTTTCTTTGCTGTGCAGAAGTTTTTTAGTTTGATAGAATTCCACTTGTCTGTTTTTGCCTTTACTGCCTATGCTTATGAGATCTTTTCCATAAAAATCTTAGACCAGAGCAATGTGCTGGAGCATTTCTCCTGTCTTCATAGTTTTGGTTCTTTTTTTTTTTTTAAGACGGAGTCTCACTCTGCCACCCAGGCTGGAGTGCAGTGACACAATCTCGGCTCACTGCAACTTCTGCCTCCTGAGTTCAAACGATTCTCCTGCCTCAGCCTCCTGAGTATCTGGAACTACAGGCATGCACCACAATGCCTGGCTAATTTTTTTTTAATTTTTAGTAGACAGGGTTTCACCATGTTAGCCAGGATGGTCTCAATCTCCTGACTTTGAGATTCACCCACCTCAGCCTCCCAAAGTGCTGGGATTATATGCATGAGCTGCCGTGCCCCACCAGTTTTGGGTCTTACATTTAAATCTTTAATCCATTTTGAGTTTTTTCTTCTTTTATATATATATATATACATTTTGTGCTTTAGGTTTTGGGGTACATGTGAAGAACATGCAGGATTGTTTCATAGGTACATACATGGCAATGTGGTTTGCTGCCTTCCTCCCCATCACCTATATCTGGTGCTTCTCCCCATGTTATTCCTCCCCAACACCCCATACCCCGTCATCCCTCCCCTAGCTCCCACCGACAGACCTCAGTATGTGATGCTCCCCTCCCTGTGTCCATGTGTTCTCATTGTTCAATACCCACACCTATGAGTGAGAACATGCGATGTTTGATTTTCTGTTCTTGTGTCAGTTTGCTGAGAATGATGGTTTCCAGGTTCATCCATGTCCCTACAAAGGACACAAACTCATCGTTTTTTATGGCTGCATAGTATTCCATGATGTATATGTGCCAAATTTTCCCTGTCCAGTCTATCATCAATGGGCATTTGGGTTGGTTCCAAGTCTTTGCTATTGTAAACAGTGAACATTCATGTGCGTGTATCCTTATAAAAGAACGACTTATAATCCTTTGGATATATTCCCAATAATGGGATTGCTGGGTCAAATGGAATTTCTATTTCTAGGTCCTTGAGGAATTGCCACACTGTCTTCCACAATGGTTGAACTAATTACACTCCCACCAACAGTGTAAAAGTGTTCCTATTTCTCCACATCCTCTCTGGCACCTGTTGTCTCCAGATTTTTTAATGATCGCCATTCTAACTGGCATGAGATGGTATCTCAATGTAGTTTTGATTTGCCTTTCTCTAATGACCAGTGATGATGAGCATTTTTTTATATGTTTGTTGGACTCATGTATGTCCTCTTTTGTAAAGTGTCTGTTCATATCCTTCGTCGACTTTTGAATGGGCTTATTTGTTTTTTTCTTGTAAATCTGTTTTAGTTCTTTGTAGATTCTGGATATTAGCCCTTTGTCAGATGGGTAGATTGCAAAATTTTTTTTTCCCGTTCTGTTGGTTGCCAGTTTACTCTAATGATTGTTTCTTTTGCTGTGCAGAAATTCTGGAATTTAATTAGGTCCCATTTGTCTATTTTGGCTTTTGTTGCCAATGCTTTTGGTGTTTTAGTCATGAAGTC